TGAAGTATTATTGATATGCAGATCAATTAGAATAGAGCTGGAAGGGACCTTGGAGGTCTTCTAGCCCAGCCCCCTGCTCAAACAGGAGACCCTATACCAGTGGTTCTCAACCTTTTTAATGCCGCGACCCCCAACCGGTCGTAAGTCGAGGACTACTCAACTGGTGCAGCACCGTTTGCAGAATGGGACTTTTGGCGGGCTCAGCAGGGCAGAGACAGCCTGGACAATTCCTATTGGCTTTTGAAAGCCAATAGAATTAGACTCTATTCAAGAGAGTCTATTCTATTGGCTTTCAAAAGCCAATAGAATAAAAGGGAGTAGCACAGCTAAGGAAAAGGGGGAAAAATGGCGGACTGCGTTGTTTGGCGACCCCCGTGAAATGGTCGTTCGACCCCAAATGGGGTCCCGACCCACAGGTTGAGAACCAATGCCCTATACAATTTGAGACAAGTAGCTGTCCAATCTCTTCTTAAAAACCTCTAGTGATGAAGCACCCACAACCTCTGAAGGAAAGCTGTTACTTGATAGTATATTAGCATCCTTGTCCTGGCTTTGTCTTGGTGCCTGGAAACTGCTGAGCTCCGAAGGGGATGAAATAGGCTAACATTCAATCCAGGCAAAATAAAAGTTGTGCTTTCTCTGAATTCCAGCATTATTTTTCAAAGGGGAAAGAAATACTTCAGAGGGTAAGAATAGGTCCATGATTTAGAGGGCCTCTTTGGCTCACAGCTACTGCTGGATTTGCAGGTGGAGAACATTTCCAGGAGGACTTTTGTTCAACTTTGGGTGGTATGTCTCCAGCTGTTACACTACAAAGATTAGCAAAGATTTGTGGACTTCTCAGCCAGCATGCCATCACTTAATCAAGTATTTTCTCTTTCTATATTTATCTCATCCAAACCCATTCCCCCACCCCCAAAAAAATACTTCAAACTACTTCAGTTTCCTCAGGAGGAAATATATATGGAAAAAATCGATCAATACATCTTGAGTAAGTATCACCAAAAGGAGTGCCATTTGGTTTATGGTCTTGCTAATAGCAATAGCACTTAGATTTATATACTGCTTCACACTGCTTTACAGCCCTCTCTAAGCAGTTTACAGAGTCAGCATTGTTGTTGTTGTTAATTGCGAAGTCGTGTCCAACCCATCGCGACCCCATGGACAATGTTCTTCCAGGTCTTCCTGTCCTCTACCATCTTCTGGAGTCCATTTAAGTTCACACCTACTGCTTCAGTGACTCCATCCAGCCATCTCATTCTCTGTCGTCCCCTTCTTCTATTGCCCTCAATCTTTCCCAGCATTAGGCCCTTCTCCAGTGAGTCCTTCCTTCTCATTAGTCAGCATATTGCCCCCCAACAATCTGGGTCCTCATTTTACCACCTCGGAAGAATGGAAGGCTGAGAATCGAACTGCCGACAGCTGGCAGAATGCAATACTGCATTCTAACCACTGTGCCACCATCCTCTTTTAGTACAGCCAAGAATTTTGTGGAAAATTTTTCACATGTTGGGGAATTATGTTTCCAGGCCTTCACTTTTCAGACAACAGCAAAAAAGTATGTGATGAAAATCTATGATATAGTCCATTTATGAATGCAAATGCACATAAACATAAAAATGGTCCTATGTCTTTGTAATATTTTGGAATGTTATGAGACACATTTTGATTTTCTATCTTTCTGATCCCTTTTCTTCTTTACATCCATGAAGAGTTCATGTGATACAGATTGGGGATTAAACAGAGAAAAAGTGTCATATGGTTTTAGAACAGCTGATATATCGCTTTAGGCAGCATAACTGATACAAATCATGCAAAGTTACTAAACTGACATTTAGCAGGAGAATAAATTATGCAATGTTAGAAAATCCAGACTAGAACTCTTAAAATATAGCCAGAATTATAACTTTTACTGCTACGAAGGAGTGGACAAAGTCTAAAATGACCAATGGGTCACTTGAAGATCTTAGCATGTGGGAATAAATTATCACGGATTAACAACACATGAAGAACATCTGCACCTGAGAAGGTTAACAGATCTCTTTTAGCCTTTATTTAATCTGAAAAAAGAAAAAAAATACTTCAAATCAACATTTGATCACTAAGGTGAAGTTTGGAATTCCACATGTTGTAGGCACTTGAGGAGGGTCTAGGACAGTGTTTCTCAACCTTGACAATTTTAAGGCATGTGGACTTCCAGAATTCCACAGCCAGCATTCTGGGAGTTGAAGTCCACATGCATTAAAATTGTCAAGGTTGGGAAACACTGGTCTAGGACAACTCGTTGCAGCCAACTTGCTGTGTCCACCTTGCTGTGGCCAATTCACAACTGCCAACTCACCACAGCAACTTGTCACCACCAACTCGGCATGACTACTTGCCATTGCCAACTCACCATGGGACCATTCACCATGGGACAACTCACCCAAAGGACAACTTAATGTGAGATAATTGTACTTTAGACCTATTCCTTTCTTAATAGTATTAGTAATATTATTGGTATTAATATTATTATTATTAATAATAATAGTATAGTTATCTCACACTGAGTTATCCTATGGTAAATTGCCCCATTCCTCTTGAGGGAGCTGCATAGAGCTCACCATCCTTTGTGTTGTCCTTGCTGTTTTGTTTATAAATTAGTAAGATTTTATTGCACAAAGATGATCATATGGAATTCTTAGTAATTGCCCTGAATTTTAAGTTTTATATCTCCTAATTCAGAGTCAGCTTGACGCAGTGCTTAAAGGCACTAGGCAAGAAACCAGGAGATTGTGAGTTATAATTCTGCCTTAAGTACAAAGCCAAGTTAATAACTTGGGGCCAGTCCCTCTCTCTCAACTCTGTGATGAAGGCAATAACAAACCACTTCCAAAAATGTTGCCAAGAAAGCTGCATGGACTTGTCCAGGAAATTGCCAGGAGTCAAGACTGATTTGAAGGCCGAGCTACAACATATCTCCTATCTATTTTCATTTAACACAACACAATTTGTCAAATTAAAGGCTGCCTAACTTATGACTCTATGTGCAGCTATTCAACCATTCCATCCATCTGGCCTATTAAATTGATTAAATTCCAATGGAGGCTATTTCTAACAAAAATCAACAGAATGAGAGAAATTTGCCTTTTCATTTGATGCTTCCAATTCAGCTAATTTTGTCAAAGTTGGACTGTTGACTAGGCTGATTCCATTTAAATGCGATTGAAAAACACAGGGCTAAATATTGATTGCCTCTCTTCTTAAGTTATGTATTATTGGTCAGAAAAATAATGACAACACAATTTGTTTGAAAGAAAAAAATAGCAGATGAAATAAATGCAGCTAATCATGTGGCACCAATTATTGGTGTAATAGTGTAGCAACAACTGCTCACCCTACTTTTTCAGTGGTCAATCTTAACACAAAATCTGACAAGTCAACCCACAGCTTGTTAAAGAGCCATGAACCTATCCAAGAGCTCATATGAATTTGTGAGATCCCATATCAGCCACCAACTCCTTTCCCCTGTCTTTTTCGTGTTCCTTCTCATTATGTAAAAGATTTTAAATGAGGTTTGTTCCAGGCTATTAACCTAAGCCGGGTGACCACAGAGATAAAATTTCATCGTCAGAGGGAACAAAGAAATTGCTTGGGTGTGGAAATTGCAATGACAAGGTTGTCCAGACAGATTGTGATGTAATGAAATGAAGTATCTGACAAACGAGTCTCAGAAACATAGATGGGTGATAAGAGCTCATGCTAACATATTTAGAAGAATATTTAAGAAGACCTGTCCAGCAGTTCCACAGATGTTCACACATTCTGCTTATATTGAATCAGTAATGTGCTAAATGGAGACAAAGTTATTATGGACTTGTTAGTTTCATTATTGGGTTATGCTGATTCTCTTCTTACCAATAACATCTGGTTGGTCAATGTTCAAGTAGCACCAAATCGCCTTTTAAGGATGAGTAAACATTATGAGGTAGGCAGAAACCCAGTTTGGTGTCCATTGAGTTTCCTTCACTGGCTGATCATGAAGTGAACTTTGAAAAATGGCAATAAAATTGTGAAAAGCAACTGCCCATTGTTATTATTGAGATCACTTCTGCCTCTCTTTTTCCTTTTAATTCTTTTTAGAGAAGAAATGTGGTGGGTGGATATGGAGGAATTTTAAGGAGGGCAAATGATTAAACAAAGAGTGCAGAGCTTGCGTCTCAATGTTGTAACACTCATTTGGCCATTATGACAAAAATCATTGAATTCTGCAGACATCTCTAGGTCCATACAGCCAAATGTAACATATGTGCCTATATGTCCAGAAACAAAAAGCAGCATGTTCAGCATCTTGAAAGGCTAATGGTAGGGAACTCTTTACCAACATGCCTTCCAAAGCTGTGTTTTGTGATTGCCTATGCTTTCTACAGCCTCTGCTTTACTCAAACAAGCAAATTATAAGAGCATTTAGTCCTCAAGTTTTACAAAGTTCCTTGTACATTTATCATGCATACCTGTAACAACTAAGGATGTTGTTCATCCTTCAATGGCCAGAAACCATTCATGTGATGGCTTCTAACACAGTTTTTAAAAATCTAGTTATAATAAAACCTTATAAAATAAAATCTTTTTATTGTTCAAAGCTTCTACCAGCTTAAAAGAGTAATGGAGACTTACACATGTTAGAAACCATCACATGAATGGTATCTGGCCACTGAAGGATGAAGCTATACATGTTCTTAGAGGACTAACATGCAAATATGAAAATAGAAAAACAGAGTTTGTATTTTGACATCAGACTGAACATTTCATTCTGTTAGTATTGTGCAGTTAAAGATGGATACATCTGGATGGAGTATGAGAGAGGGAGAAGGGAAGGTAAAGGAAGTTATAAGAAGTGGATCATGAAAATTACACACTGATTTCCAGCTACTGAATGTAAAATTTTGTTGAACCCATGGATTGAATTTATAACATGCAATGAAGATAGACATGAAAAGAACTACATTTAAACCACATACCTGAGAATCAGAACCAAACGTGCATCCCAGCGTTAGGGATAAGATTATTCTCAGTATATTCCCACCTAACAAGGCTTCATCCTGAAATTAGAAAGAAATATTGAAAAAAAGCATGTTTTCTTCAGCCTTCCTTAGGCTGATTGATTGATGGTCAGAGATGATACATATCTTGATTTTTGTGCCAAAACACTTCAGAGAGACTTTAAAGCATATAAAAACCTCTAATATATTACAACATAAATTCATCTCATTTATAAACCAATAGCAGCCTTCAGAACCATGATTTGAGCAACGGCTGAATTTATACTATATGCTGTTAGGACTACATTTCAGCAATTTTCCCAAATTATTTGGGAAAAAAGCAACTTTCCACTGGCAAGCAAATGAGAACAGAATGGACTTCCTCTGGGAACAGACGGTCCTCAGGATCTTTTGGGGCAAAGTGGGTGCAAAGCTGAGGAAAAAAATATTGTGATGGAATGTAGGGAGAAGTGGATCTCCAGGAGGGAAGGGCTGCGTTCCAGAGGATGGAACGACAATTTATTTTGAATGTTAAATCTGACAGAAAAAGGGTGAAGACCGCTTCTCTCTAATAGTTCCCAGAGTATATGGGTAGTCCTCAATTTACAATCTACAACTGAGCCCAAAATTTCCATTGCTAAATAAGACAGTTAGAAAGTAAATTTTGTGCCGTTTTATGATCTTTCTTGCCACAGTTGTTAAGTAAATCACTAGAGTTGTTAAATTAGCAATAAGGTTGTTAAGTGAATCTGGCCTCTCCGTTGACTTTGCTGGTCAGAAGGTTGCAAAAGGTGATCACATGACCCCGGGACACTGCAACTGTCGTAAATACGAGTTAGTTGCCAAGTGTCTGAATTTTGATCACATGACCATGGGGATTTTATAACGGTCATAAGTATGAGAAATGGCCATAAGTCACTTTTTTCAATGCCAATGTACCTACGAATAGTCACTAAATGGACTGTTCTGAATCAAGGACTACCTGTACTCAAATTTTGAAAATATATTTGACCGGGTTGATTTTAGCATGTGGATTAACTTCCTGTAATGGTATGTGGAAATGACCGTGGGAGACAGGAGGAAGAACCACATATTGAACTGACAAAAAAACCTATCTCAGACCATAGAAGGAAAGGAAAAAAGGGAAACGTTTCAGAAGGGATCCTCTTTAGTTTTCCAGAAAATAAAAGGAAAGAAGGTTAGAAATACTTTCAGTCTGTTAATTCTATTAGGGTAACCTTAAAATAAAGATAGAGAGAATTCTGCTGGTTGTGCTTCTTATTTGGAGGCTCTTGCAGAGCTAATATAGCTAGTCCTCAACATACAACAGTTTAGCGACCATTCAAGGTTACAATGGCACTGAAAAAAGTGACTTTTGATCTTTTTCATACTTACAACCACTGTAGCATCCCCATGGTCACGTAACCAAAAATTCAGATTCTTGGCAACTGACTCGTATTTATGATAGTGTCCTGGAGTCACGTGATCACCTTTTGTGATCTTCTGACAAGCAAAGTCAATGGGAAAGCCAAACTCACTTAACAACCATGTTACTAACTTAATAAGTACGGTGATTCAGTTAACACTTGTGGCATGAAAGGTCGTAAAATGGGAGGAAACTCATTTAACAAATGTTTCGCTTAACAACAGAAATTTTGGACTCAGTTGTGGTCGTAAGACAAGGACTACCTGTACATCCTAACTATTCTTCACTTTGACTGTCTGGCTGTAATCAAACCCTAAATTGTTAAGCTTGGCCCAGGACAGGGCCTCATTTCTAATCCTTTTCCCTAGTCCTCTCTCCCACCATGAGAGACAATTCTGAAAATGGGGAAAATTAGTATAATGCACTATAGATGAAGCAAATTATTATGGTTGGATCTCAGGATTCAATGCCTTATAAATCACATCGGTTCCAAAGGATTAGAGGGGAAGAGCAACTAAATGCTATTGTCCCCTGAATTTATCCTTGATCCTTCCTTCTCATAAATCCTGAACATACCATGATGTAAAATCAAATAACTTGTCTGAGAAGGAAGGGGAAACAAATTCTAGTGAACTTGAAGGCAAGCCACAATGTACACAGGGTTGCCTTTTCAAATCTGAGTCTTTCTGAAGAAAATTTATGTTGAGGAATTGTGCAGCAGCTCTCCAGGTGGAGCCAGAGACACTAACACAAATGTATATTAAAGGTTTTTTCATATACATAAATATACAGATAGTTCTCAACTTACAACCACAATTGAGCCCAAAATTTCTGTGGTTAACTGAGACATCTGTTAAGTGGGTTTTGCCCCATTTTACGACTTTTCTTGCCACAGTTGTTATGTGAATCACTGCAGTTGATAAGTTAGTAACATAGTCGTGTTAAGTTAATCTGGCTTCCCCACTGACTTTGCTTGTCAGTCGCAAAGGGAGGTCGCAAAAAGAGATCGCATGACCTCGGGTCATAAATATGAACCAGTTGCCAAGCATCTGAATTTTGATCACACGATCATGGGGATGCTGTAAAGAGTGAAACTGTGAAAAATGGTTATGTCACTTTTTTCAGTGCCGTTGTAAATTTGAATGGTCATTAAACAAATTGTTGTAAGTTGAGGACTACCTGTATTTAACATTCAGACTTATAACAGTCTTTGTCATCATCCAGAAAGAAACAACACAAGATAGTCAAGAGCACAAGAATAGCATGAGGTAAAAATTAATCAGTATACAGAACACACAGAAGAAAAAGGCGGGAAAATGGGAAACGCCCCCTTTATACTTACAGCAACCAATCATAGCATAGATTGCCTCATGCTTGAGTTACTACTCTCTAACTAATCAACGACAACTGTGTGCTCTGGTCTATTGCACACTTTATTGTTCCAGCTACTAAATTCAATATCCTAACAATTTATTTAGGCCTATTTTCAGGATCGAATTCCAATGCAATAGTTCGATCTAATGTCCCTTGCTATAATGTAACTCCCGGCTTTTCACCATTATAATTTTTCATGCTGTAAATTAAGTCTCACTGTCCATTGTTTTAACAGTTTTAATTCCATTACAGCTTGATGACATTATTATAATTATTAGAGATAAAAACAGACACACACAGGTAGACAAACCTACACACATACATAAAAGATCATCTCCTATTCACTGGCTGGAGGACTGAGCTGGAATTGACAATCTGCTGTGAAAAGGAATATGTCACAAATGACAGGTCTATGTTTTCCCAGGTTTTACCTTCTTATTTTGGCTGTTACCTACCCAGGGCTTAAAACTGCAAATTACTATAATACTGCGCATAAAAATAAAACATGGTAAAAAGCATTCCAAAATGCCTTGGTTCTAAGGAAACTCAGCTCACATCTAGTTATTTCACTATTGGAGGTTAATTATCTGACAATTGCAATACGATGCACTGATCTGAATGTGTGAATGAGATAGAGACGACTGCCCAGAGTCTCCATATTAATGAGATGGGTGGCACAGAAACCCAATAAATAAAAATAAATATTGAGACTCTGTTAGGGTAGGAAAAGTTCCAAGGGAAGAACGATATGAAGAAAGCTGGTGTTATTTTAAAAGACAAATAAAATAAATAAATGTCCCTGATAAACATCCCAAACACCCAATATAATGTAATTGTGCTGTTCAGTGATTCAGACTGGATTCTAAACAGAAGATTCCTAAAACTTGCAAGAAGTACACCTAGCACCTGTTTGCAAACATCTCAAATAGCCATTTTTTCTTGCCAGGATCTCATGGCTGTGCGATCCCAGGAAAAGACATGGCTGTTTTAAAGACTTATAAAAAGATGCAAGGTTGGGGCCTCTGTAAATCTTTTTTTTTTGAATTACATCCAAAGATGAGATGAAGAATTACTAACTCGAAACCCACTAATTAACAGAGCACTCTTAAATGATTTCAGTTTATGAAGTTATGAACAACGGCTGGGTATCCACGGCCAATACTGGCTGGTGGATAGCTTCCACTGTGGTTTTGAAATACTGACATTTATTTCCCCATTATACCTTGTTGGTCGACTTTTATGATTAACTGCTCAATGGAACCAACGGGGATCTGAGATAAATAGTCTCATACTGCAGATCACAAAAGGCATCCCCGCTTTTGTGACTGGCTCTTTAATCTAAAACGGGCCAAGACTGAAGAAGAGGACAAAGCTTAGGCTGTGGAGAAAAGAATGGAAAACAATTAGTGTGTTGATGTCAGCTTAAAAGAGGTCACAGCAAGATCAATCTTTTCAGCATCTGTTCTTTAATTTAAAGAATGGGGGAGGAGAAGCTGTGTCCACTACTCATCACTATGGTAACTTTCAATATTGTACAATCAGAACCAGTTAGGTTTCCAGCATCACTTGCGATGGATGGAGCTAAAAACAAAACAAAACAAAACAAAAAAACAGCAGCAGAGAAGCGTTCAAAAGCAGTAAGGCAAAGAACAGGGAGATATTCCTTATTTTCTAAACGACAATTACAGGAAATGAAGTTATTTTAGGCATTTGTGGGCAGGACTAGTTCTATAGTGGTAGTCCTTGACTTAAACCAGTGGTGGGATTCAAATATGTGAACAACCGTTTCTCTGTGTGGATGCCACTTCCGGAAGTCCGTTCTGGGCCTGGGCCACAAAAAATTAGCTACCAGTTCTGCCAAACGGGTGTGAACCGGCTGAATCCCACCACTGCTTACAACTATTTGTTTAGCGGGTGTTCAAAGTTATGATGGCACTGAAAAAGGTGATCTATGATTGTTTTTCACACCTATGACCATTGCAGCATCCTCATGGTCATCTGGTTAAAATTTGTCCACTTGGCAACTGGCTCATATTTATGTCCCAGGGTCACGTGATTACCTTTTCCAGGCTTCTGACAAGCAAAGTCAAGGGGAAGCCAGATTCACTTAACAATCATTTTAACAACTTAACAACTACAGTGATTCACTTAACAACTGTGGCAAGAAAGGTTGTAAAAAAGCATATAAGGAACGGTTGCTGGAATTGGGTGTGTCTAGTTTAATGAAGAGAAGGACAAGGGGGGGGGACATGATAGCAGT